GGTGGAACGATAGCGTTTCATTCCAAGTGAATGTAAGATGGGACGAGGAACAGACTGACGAGGTGACAGTTCCTGTCTCTAACCCATTCCCTACCTAGATTGTGTTGTGGCACAGCACCGGGCACGGTGCGGGAGATAAAATGCTATTGCTGCTGCTGCTGCTGCCAGCATTGGTACCACCAGTGGGCACAGAAAGGGATAGGGGGAATATACACACACACACATCATATCCCAGTGTGTATAAACGCTCAGACAACCGCGGTAGCGCTTAGACTACTGTGTGTGAGGTTGTTGCCGTATCGTAGGCGCCCACTGACAGATGTGGTAAACGGGTGGGTGCGTCCTTGTCGAGGATACGCGTGCAAATTTTGGTGACATCGGCGATCACCACCATTTCTCTACTCCCAATGGCGCCTTTTTATGCCGGCGGTATAGATGAAAATGACTTTAGCAGAACGGCTCAGGTCGTTACGAACTAAAACCCGTATATGGTATGCGCATCAGTCCCTTAGGTGGATACAAGGTCCCAGATTCCTCAAAGTGGGTCCGTGAAAAACAATTTCCGTTTTTCGTTATTGCGATGTATTAATGTGCATATTGGTTGTACTGTGTGTTGCACTGTAATCGTTCCTAGGGATAATGACCGAGGTGACACAAAGCGATTTTCAACTTGACAATTATCTCATTGCTTACCAGTGTCACGTAGTGCTACACCCAACGAACTTCCTGAACTGTTTGGCCGTATTTGCGGACTAGAGCAGTAGGTATCGGTGAAGTCCGTACTGACCAACTCGGTTAGGATTGTCCCGCCAGTTCGAGCTCCTACTCCTGTCGTTGAATCTATTGTCCCCGTAGCACTGGCTGTCAGGCATAAGTCATCATACGTACCAGATTCATCAAATTCCACCGGATCACTAGCCTTGATCGTATCTGATCGTGTGTTAAGCAACGAGGGTAACAGACCACCAGGATTCAGGACTTTCACATTTTGCGATGACCCGTCCGTGCTGCTCGCGGATTTTTGTTTGAAGAGACCCCGGTCTAGTTGATCTTCAATAGAACCGGATAGACCAATCAGTTTAGGCATCCAGGTAGACTTGGTACCCATGTCCAGGCAGGATCGTTGAGAAGACAGCTGGGCATGATTGAGGCAACACACCTGCTCATTCTGAAAGGCGATCTCTTCTCCCGGTTGTAGTAGTCGATCGCAGACAGCACATCGGAAGCAATCCAAATGGAAAGCACGTGATCGAACTCGGAAGACTAGATCGGATTTACTGACAATTTGATGACAACCAGCGCAACGATAGAAAAATGTGCTGTGTTGGATCGAAAGCATATTGGGGACAAGAAGAGAAAGAAGATTCAAATAGTAGGCTGTCGCGAACTAACAGTAGAACAACAAGACAGGCTTACGTTTCACCAAATTCACTGGAATTATGCAAAATTACAAGTTGTTCGCAAAAGTGATAAACTTATAAAGCAAAAAAGAACGCTAACCAGATGTCATCGGTTACCTTCAGTTTGATCTTGAGACCTATGGAAATACATCGAACTTTGGAAGTATTATATTTTCTTTCGTTTTAGTCACATATACTTGTATTAATAAAACTCGTGCAACACTCTGACTTTCATCAGATTTGTTCATCTTAACGCTTATTGTTTCGAGCCTTATTCACGAGATCGAATATGATGGTATTGCTCCACATCAGACGCAACATCGCCGAAATAATGTTAATATCCACTTATGTTTTTCGCTTCTATTAATCGAATGCCATTAAAATGTACGATTTCTCCACTTCGATGACGGTTGCTGGTGAATCAGTTGTAGGTCAGCAAAGCCTCAATAGAAGAATGCCATTAGAATTCATTTATAAAAACGATTCATAAGCATAAGACGAACATTGTAGCTTCATTTTGTCAATGTTCTATTTGCCGTTCTTTATTTTTGAACACTAGAGCCTGTCATTTTTACACGAAGTCCGCCAAGTTGACTGTCAGACAGCATTTGTCAGTTTCTTTCAATTCATGCTGCACCCTGACTACTGCTGTCGAGGAAGCTACGGTTTCCCTGTTTCTAGCATAGGATCGTTATTCGTTTATAGAATTTGGCAATCTGGGTTCGGGGTAGTGAGTTATTTCAAGACCTTATATTGGGCCGTAAAACAGTAAAGTCGGTTACCACTGAAAGTGGTTAGTGACGACTGGGTTCGGAGTCTGGAAGTGAGGGCTCGGAGCAGGTCGGCGACTCATATCACTCCAGCAATGCCTACATTTGGTGGAGATGTGCCCTTCTATCAATAATGATAATTATTATTATACTAGGAGTACCTCTAATTCGTATTCTACATTAGTGGTTATCTTTCTCGGTTTTGTACCTGAACATTTTAGTTTCTAATTTCTAATTTTTTTTGGATCCAGTTGACAAGTGGCGAGAAATAACTCCTAGTTCAACTCCGACCGGTCTCATATCACGTGTCCAAAATGCAGGTGAACCACGAAACATTGTCCATTCATCCATCCCTATATTTACTTTCCCTCCATCCCTCCATCCCTCCTCATTCACGCCAATGGGGAGAGTCACACAGACGATCATTATTATCATCTACCACATCCCCAGTCAATCAGGCCGTAAGTCATTTCTCGGTTTTATTCGCGTGTTAACGGAATTGCGGTTGTTGTTTTTGTTGTTGGTTGCATTGTCTCTCGTCGCGGTTGTTCCCTTTACCACCACCACCACCACCACCACCACCACCACCACCACCACCATAACCATAACCATACACCGTACAGTAGCAGCAACATTAGCGATATCCCC